ATACAACAATAATCTATAGTAATTATCAAGAGCTCAATGCATGAACAGACAACCACTGTATGTTTGGTCATAAAGTGTTTTGAGGTAAAACAGACTATGAATTAATATCATGACTTTTGTATGACAAAATGTCTCACTAACGACAGATCCAGGTTTCTTAAAAAGATGGGAATAAACTCATCATAGATACCAGGCTAAAATTTTGTACGCCAGGCGGGCGTTTCGTCTACAAAAGACTCCTCAGTGACGCTCGAATAACAAAGTTATTAAGGCCAAATAAAGTACGAAGTTGAAAAGAATTGAGGAACCAAAATTCCGAGAGGTTTTGCCAAATATAGCTAAGGTAATCTATTCCAGGGGGAGTTAATCCATAGTATTTCGAAAAATTCAAAGTTTTGTAAACAGTTATTTTATAAATATGACCATATAAATGATGATTCATATCAACACAGTAGTGCTGACTACTGGGCTGGTGATCGCCTTGGAGCGGAAACCTCCACCAGCCATGGCATCAACCCAGTTGTTGTAAATAAACTCATTATAGACACCGGACATTTCCGGAATTGAGTTGCGTATAACAGGAAAGTGCTAAAAATGTGATAAATATAATTTATATTAAAAAAACCTTTTAAGAAGTGGTTCTTTTCATCAAAAACACTGATCAACTTCGGTTTCTTAAATATAATAATTGCAACACAACTAAAAACCGTAATTCCCCTTCAATTCATCAGCAAGTCCAGTTGATGAAGGGACTGTATTCATAGCATAAAAGTTATCTACTGACAACACAAATTTTCCGTATTGTGATGTAAGAAAGTAAATAGGGGTCTTTTTAATGACAAAGTATTTTAAAATCTCATTTGTTTAGGTCTTTTAACCACCCATCTGCCTAAAGACATTTTTCTCAAAGTGCTTCACTTAAATTGACATTTCAAATGAAAATCCTACGTTCAATCAAACTAGTTTTTAATCTAAACAATGTCTATATCTAATTCCCTAGGTCAGGTTAAAATCAAGGCAAAAGTATAATTCATTTCTTGAAAATAATGTGTGTTGATCTCTGTTTGACGATTTTTCACTTCAAAATCCAAATGTTTTTATTTGAAATTACTAGTATCTCATAGTTTATGTCAAGCTTAAACACTATAAACAGCGAACTTTTATCACTCTGATTATTGATAGATTGTTCATCCCATTAAAAGCTTTGAGATTAGCTTACTTTTTTGTTTGCCCATACATGAACTTAAAACTTTTAATATAGTATTTTCTAAGGATCAATTTTCTGAAGTATATTTTACAAAACACAAAGGAATATATATATTTATAAATATCTATGTGGAAACAATTGAAAAACTCTTTGGCAATACAATTTTATAAAAAAATATATTCGCGAACTAGTAATGGTCAAGTTTGGAATCTTTGAATACAAGATAACCTAACTTTTGACTATTTTTTTTTATCTCTTTTAATGGAGGATCTTTTTTCTATTGTCTCGTTATGAGTTTCAAGTCTGCATCTATTAAAGGTAGCATAATACAATTATCAAATCTTTTAAAAAATCATCTTACTGATCGTTTAATTTTTTTTTGTATGTATGTGTTTAAATAAAAACGTATGATACTGCTTAAACGTTTTTGGATATAAACACAATGTTCTGAAACATTCTATTCATTACAAATCTTGATTACCATTTAGTTTTTCTTTAAAAGCTATTGAAAGACTAGATTTCTGACAGAATCTTGATTGAGTTTTACTTCAACCACTCATTATCTTTGTCAGAAAGTTAAATGAATAAAAAACTAGCAAACTTTTGAAATCGAAGAATAAAGATAAGGCAACACAGACGTACATATTACTGTCATATAAAATCGCTAACTTTTCACTTAATATCGTAAAATAATTAGAACAAGATATCTAGAATTGACATTAATTACTTACACAAATCTTAGGTCATGTAAGTTACGACTTAAGTAATTATTTCTTCGAAATATATCTTTTTGTCATCAGGAAATCAAGATATCTGTATGGCAAGTGAGAATTCTTCATGTCCGTAAGGCACGTGTGAAGACGTGTCCGTATGGCGTGTGGGTAGTCTAAGTGTCCGTATAACATGTGGATAGTCCACGTGTCCGTATGACATTTTTGCAATCTGCATGATCGTATGGCATGTTGAAAGTCAACACTTCCGCACCGAATGGAATTTGTTTTGCCCGTGGGTATTCTATGTGTCCACGGGGCATAAGGGTAGTTTACTTTGGCATGTGATATAATATAAAATAAGGAGATATGGTATGATTGTCAAATGACACAACTAACCAACAAAATCAAAATGAAGGGGATTTAGTTAACCTTAGGTAATCTAGTTGTCTACGTTTCCGGATGGTATGTTGAAATTATATGCGTCCGTATGGTCAAGGGGTCGTCTACATGTTCGTTTTGAATATATGGACTTTCGCTTTGGCATGTGGATAAACTGCATGTCCGTACGGGATATGGATAGTCGACATGTCCACATGTCATATTGGCATGTAGGTAATCTTATAAGTCCATATTGCATGTGGTAAGTCTATGCATATGTTTATGTGCATGTGGATGCTCTATGTTTCCGTATTGCATGTCGGTCTTCTACATGTCTGTATTTTATATGGGTCATCTATGTGTCCGTATGTCATTTGGTTCATATACGTTTATGTATGACATCTGGGTCATTAATGTGTCCGTATGGAATGTCGGGCGTCTACTGATTCTTATTGAATACAGGTGTTTTTTCGCTATAACATATACAATTTCTTCGTATAATAAATATTGCATGTTTATGATTGAAATGCATAGTCAATAGTGTTTGAAAATTCCGACAAACGATCAGGTATCTTGCATTTCATAGAACATTGCACAATTGATAATTTCTAAGTGTATGTTTCATTATGAAGGGGTTAATCAGTGTCAAATGTCAATGAACATTTCAAATTAAAATATTATATATTGTTAACTGCAAACTTGTTGTTTTAAAGGCAAACATACATTACAGTGTCAGTTTCTAATTATAACATGTTGTAAGCGGTCTTCGACAATTTTTTTTAGGAAATATTAGCACTTCTGACAACACTTTCAATTTTATTGTCTTGCTGAACGATACGAAATCTTGAATTATCTCCTTCAAGCCGATATAATTTGGTAATAATCTATTAGTCCTGGTATCTGAAACTGAATTTCGTCTATCTCTGCGTTTGTGACTATAAATTGGGTCAATAATGTTAACTAATATCCTCGTCCTACAATCTATCAATCAGTACGTTTGCCGTAGAAAAAGCTCAAGAAAGACTGTAAAATCATAAATAGTTCTGCATTATATGTTTAGAACTTTCTCACTGAATGTTTCACATACTGATTGGGCAAAATATAAAAACTCTATATGACAGATGGATCCGTTTAACTCACTAAACGATTCATACATTTCATTATGGACGCTTCCCCTTTCATTTTTTTGTAATTGTAGCATTAAGACGCTTTTAAATTTTTTAGACATTATTTGATGTTTCTAAAAGTCGATTCCGTACCAATATATCTGCTAAATGAGTGAGTTTGTAAAGGGAATACATATTTCTACTGTGCTACCTTTTAAGACAATGACAAGTTCATATTACAGTGTTGCAATAGATCGCCATATCCTAAATAGTAATTACAGCCATAGTAGTGTCCCTCAGGAGAATAATGTTCACAAACTTGCTTGCACTGTAGTAAAAATTCCTCAGTAATAAGTCATGGCTACAAGACTGATTGACACAATCATATGAGTGTACCATATAGCGAGTTAGAAAAACTGGTTTCAAAGATCTATGTTTATGTTGAATGCCAAATATTTGATGCATATTCATGACTGTCATATTGATTTTAAATGAAGAAACCCTACTTTTTACAAGACCGACACGCTGATATTGATTTTTGCCGTGCAAGCACACACTGATGGAGGACCTTCAAACTTACACAGACACACCTTTTATGCTCGAATACATCAGTGGTTGTTCTAGTTCATAACTGCTGCTTGCTTCGTGATTAAGCAGCAAACGCTAAAAACATTTTTTTTTTTAAATTCATTCAGACGGCAATGAAACTGACGACCTCCAAAACTCAACGTGATGACGCTTACATAAGACAGCTAATAGTAGTATTTCAGTAAAATGTCTAAAATTGTTTGACACAAAGATATTGTTCTAGAAGGGAGACATCTATAATTTATCCTGTTTGCTAGTATTGTAGAATTCCAATTTGACTTAAATACGCACTTACGGGGTTATTCGTATAGATGCATTTACCTTGTCATTCTATTAGTTCGTCCTTTACTTTCGGTACACATTGCTTAGCTTCTCGCTAGGTCTGAACTATACTGATGAGCTGTACCTTGTAAGTTACCTTCAGATCTGACAGGTAGTCACTTCTGTTTTGATAATTCTTACGATTTCTACCATACCCACACCCACTGCGAATGATTGTTTTTGTAACATATAAACTAGCTTTTAGAAGGAATGACTTCATATTTGGTCCGAAACTTTATAAATCAAAGTTGTAAAATGTACGTGATTTTTTAGATCTGCCTTGGCAGTCACCTCCTGTTTGATGATAGTTTATTGATTTTATTTTACCCACAGAGCATGGTATTTTTCGTCATTGCTAATACCGATTGGTGGTGGAGTGGAGATTTGGTGCATTTTGCATAACATTTCGTGCAACTTTTTAAAAAAAAATGTCTTGTGTTTACTTTTCATTTAATCCGACTATTTATATCACTGCATTTGAGTACTGTTTGGAATTTGTCATGCAAAGCAAATGTAAATGTCAGGTGTTTGCAGTATAATTCATGAACTTCTTGCTCTTATCCATTTAGATAATATAAACAAAAACAGGATATTTGCTAATCCCTACTTCAATTAGTAGCATTAAGAAATAAAGGTATTGATGTTTACTAAACCTTTTACTAAATCGTATTTTTGTTGCATTTTCAGACTCAGTAATGGACGGTAAAGGCGGTCAATAGAAGGAGAAAGGAATGTGAAAAGGTAAGTTTTCTTTTTCACTTATGATTTTTCCATTTCGTTGTGTCAATGAAAGTTCATAGTATTCATCAGTTTTTCAAATATCAATACACTATTGCGTAGTTCCTTAAATTTAAAGACGCCTAAAGCTAATCAGAAATATTAAAAAAACATATACTAGTGAACAAAAGTAACGATACACAATTTTGAACTCCAATTTATCATAAAATATAATAAATAGGAAAAACTGTTTAATTATCCAATGAAAAACATTCATTTGCAAAGCAAATGCATATGAATAAAAGAATCTGACCAAATTGGAAATTGAGAAAATACCGTGTCATTCAGCACAGTGGTAAAATTTTACGGAAAATGATGACAAAAGTCTGCACTTAATTTTGAAGATTAGAATTAAGTATTCAAATTTCTGCAAATGCATTCAAAATTTTAAGCAGACCATGTTTAAGTTTATAGTTTTAAGTTCTAATATCGATTTTTTGAATTTTTGGGTGAAAATGCGATTTTTGAAATAACAAAAATTGCACAAAAAAAAAAATTCGGGTATTTGCCTTAAATCAATGGTTTTGATAAGAAAAAAACACTCTGTAAATATTAGACCAATTTGGCAATTCTTTACCTTGGTACAGTGTATCCAATTTCATTATATATGGAAAATACATTGCCTTGTATCGTTTCTTTTGTTGACTAGTATATATTTTATTGTTAGCATTTAATTTCATAGTTAGATTTCAAAAGTATACATAAATTATGAAAATAAACCTGAATTTATATGTCAATAGTTGTGATCTTAATGTAAATAGCTGGTCAACGGAGTTTGATAACCCTGCTATCCCCCCCCCCCCCCCCCCTCCCCGTATATTTAATAAAAAGAAAGAACATTCATAAGTATTGTATTCCTTAAGTTTGTATAGCAAGGGAAAATGTGTACTTTATAAAGTTTATCTCAAAACTAGTGAAACTTTTCACATTGCGCCTTTCTAAATGCTATGTTATTTTGTGCATTCCTTAAGCATATGTTTCTTTCTGCTCACAAGTATATCTACAAAAGACATAACCTCGAATTTGACATACGCGGTCATCTCAGTACCAGAATCTATGACAAACGAGACGATTTTAATTTTGAAATTACCAATTTCCCCCACCTTAGTAGCTGCTACTCAGGCTTTGTAAAACGTCACCATTGTCTGAGTAGAAAGTTGATGAACCAGGGGTATGTCAAAGAACGTCTCGTCCTTTTTCTAAAAAAGTTCATTGGAAGGTACCAAGACCTTGTTGATAAATAATCCGTATCAACCTTACAAATAATACACGATGGTCTTGAAGTATAGATTCTGGGTACTGACGTTGTTTATCATCTTAATAACGTATGACAGTATTCTTTTATTTGTCTTTATGAATATTACTTTTACTGTTTAGTCTGTTTGTTGGTGATATCTAATTGGCGTGGCTCTGTTCTTATACATCCCGTCATAGTGTAATTGTTCTATGGTAAAATTTTTGTATTCTTGTCTTTCATTTTTGCTAATGTACTTTGTCTATATGCCTTTTTGTGTTTCTTTGTTACATATAACGTGGATCTGTACTTACACATCCCGTCATTGTGTTATTGTGCTATGGTATATTTTTGTATTCTTGTCTTTCATTTTTGCTAATGTGCTTTGTCTATATGCCTTTTTGTGTTTCTTTGTTACATATTTGTTTGTTTTTATAGTGATTAAGATTATAACACAATGTTGACTGCTGTACCCCTATTTTTGACATTTTTACCTATTATGTCCGTTTGTTTTGATCACACATTGCTGTGAAATGAGAAATTGACAGTTGAAAAGTTGACAATGTCGACTGCTGTACCCCAATTTTTGAAATTTTTACCTATTATGTCTGTTTGTTTTGTTGTCAATATAATGGAATGTTATGCGACTGTCATACAAGTGAGAGGTTTAGCTAGCTATAAAACCAGGTTTAATCCACCATTTTCTACACAAGAAATGCCTGTACCAAGTCGGGAATATGACAGTTGCTATCCATTAGTTTGATGTGTTTGAGCTTTTGATTTTGCCATTTGGTTACGAACTTTCCGTTTTGATTTTTTCCTTGGAATTCGGTATTTTTGTTATTTTACTTTATGCCACATCTTCTGGTGGCAAGGTAGTATTTACATTCCGGAATTTAGGTTGCTCTTTTGTGTACCCTACTTAAGTCAATGTATCTGAACAGTGTGATTGGACAAAACAATACAGTATCTACTGAACATACTTTCCCAAACTGAGGGATGAATCAGATGTAGAAAAATATGAAATAATTTTACATACAGGTGAAAATGAATTTTTGAGAATTTAAAAAAATTTTGTAATCGCTGCATGATAAAAGACCTAAACGCACTAGTGGCCTTAGGTTTAAAAAGATTGCAAAAAAGGTAAACGGCCATGATACATATTCAAATTCATTTCTGAATATTATAATGAAAGTACATCAGTTTACTTTGTATGTAGAATTTTAGGCAGTGTTATAAAGTGGTGAAAATTCTAAAAAGGCTATCAATATCCCTATGGGCCAGGAAATACTACCGTGCCACTTCTCGGAAACCCTGAGACAAATTTTAACCAACAAATAATCTTAGAGATGCAAATTTGTAAAATTTCAGAAAGATTCCGACTTAGTTATCACCGATAGGGTGCATATTGTTGTAAATCATACACACTCGTGTTGTACCCTATATCTGCATTTTTCTATTGCATCAATAATGTTTTAAGGGAATAAGATATTTCTCTACTTTAACCCAATAATTCATTTATCTTAATACTTTTCAGTATTTTTACCTGTCTTTATTTTCGAATTTTAGTGACAAATATCGAATGAATAATAACACGCATTATAAGATCATCCCATTCATGCCTCAATTCACACATTTTACATACATTTATGACTTATAAGTACTTATATGAAATTTATGGAAACACGTAAAAAATAATATTTTCAATATAACCATATATCATGCATATGTCATGACATAAACAAATCATCTGTATGACACACATGTGCCATTCACAAGATGGTTTAAGAAAATATAAGCATAAATAACTTTTTTGTATATTATTTGTTAACACAACGACGAATATGTTTTTTTAACCAAATACGACAATCAGTTTTAGTTGTTACAATCAAATTGAGAATGGAAATGGGGAATGTGTCAAAGAGACAACAACCCGACCATAGAACAGACAACAGCAGAAGGTCACCAACAGGTCTTCAATGCAGCGAGAAATTCCCGCACCCGGAGGCGTCCTTCAGCTGGCCCCTAAACAAATATATATACTAGTTCAGTGATAATGAACGCCATATTAAACTCCAAATTGTACACAAGAAAAGTTTCCGAGTTTTTAGATATTTATTAATAAAAAGGGGTATTTTTTGTAAAACTAGTGATTTTGTATAATCACATAATTGATCATGGAATTCATAAAATTCATGTTTTTGACAAGGGGATTTTACAAAATCACTGTTTCAATTCAGTACTTTTTATACGCCCGTTCACGGGACGTATTATGGTATACCGTTGTCTGTCCGTCCGTCGTCAACATGTCGGACAATTACCCAAAACGCTTTAACCAATTTTCATGAAACTTTGGTGAATTGTTTATATCTATTGACGTAAGCTCCTTTTCGATTTTTATAAATTTTCGATTTAACGTTTCCGAGTTTTTAGATATTTATTCATAAAAAGGGGTATTTTCCAGTTTTCGTACAATAACTTAAAAAATGCTTTGAGGCGTTTTTATGAAACTTTGGTGACGGGCTTATATTAAGTAAAATAAGCTCCCTTTAGCTTTTTTTTTTTATAAATTTCTGATATGACATTGAGGAAAAATGGAATTTTATTCGTTGAAAAAGCGACGGGCGTATAATGCGCTCATTGCGCAGCTCTTTATTTTCTACAGATTCACTGGTTTAATTCAGGGAAATACTCTGGTAGTTATCTGGGGACTTTCTATCCCAAGATTTGATTTAAACTGACTCCCTGTGATAGAGACAAACCTTATTGTAGTGGATTAAAAATATAAATATCAGCAGTGTGTGATCTATTTTGTCTTGAACTGCATTGATTTTCGCAATGTAATTTTTACGCACGATATCATTTAACTAATAACGAAAAGGGGGATGAAAAAGTAAAAATAAATGTTGACCTAAATACTTGCTATTAGACGTAATAGACAGGACATCAATGAGACAAAACTTGAATTATTTACTTTGCCTTAAATTGAATAACGTAAATCTAAAGCTATTTGAATTGCAAGAAAACAAACTAACTACTAAAGCGTACGGTGACCTATAATTGTTAATTTCTGTGTCATTTGGTCTCTTGTGAAGAGTTGTCTCATTGGCAATCATACCACATCTTCTTATTTTTATAAATCTTCATATACTGTTAAAATATCCCATTATTTTCTATATTCTATCCAATATCATATGTCTAATTATGTTAAGATAATTTTTTTAATTTACATGCATGTTTGAATATCTTTAATGTAGGTATGTGAAAAAAGTTCTGGCAGTAGTTGATTTTTATCATTCATATATTTTTGTCAAGCAGTTAAACTAATCTGCATTTGTTTTGGGCAATGTTTATCAAAACATGTAAATAAAGGCAACAGTAAACCTGTGGTAGTTATGGAAACAAAAACTGTGTACAGAATAACCTAGACTTCAGGCAGATAGGCTTATTGTGTAACAGTTGCCATAATTTGTAAGCTTTGTAACTGTAAAAATGACTTTTGTTCCAATTCACCGTATCAATCTTTCTAAAACATGTTATTCTATATTTGAAAAAGTAAATTCTAATATACTAGTATTTATGACATTTATATGGTTTAAACAGCAGTGGGGGGGATAAACTAGTATGGAGGCGACAATCCTCCCCCTAACCTGGGACAGTGGTGTAGAACAGTACAACATTAGAACAAACTATAAAAATCAGTTGAAAAGGTCTTAACTCATCAGATCGA